TCTTAGCCAGAGGTGCTCCAGTCGTGTTCTTCAGTCGTCTGTACAACTGACAGAACAGATACACTTCTATTTGAATTAATCCAGCTGTATATTCAGGCCACATGATGTCCTGCATTTTACTCACCATATGAACCATTGAACACAGCCTGAAGCAAATGGTTGTGCTCTAAAACTTTTCTTCCGTTTTACTTGTCACTGCAGAGATTGTGCAAACTGACCTTCAATTAACTCCAGTTATCCCATTTATTAATGCTCAGTGTTCTTTTATACAGCCTTTGTTTGTGTTGTTTGACTCAAACAATATCACCAAAGAATCTGATGTAACCCAGTGTAAAAAACAACTATAACATTAGACAATTCTATAAATGTTGATGTCACTATTCCATGAATTATTCTACAAACTAACATGTAAAATGTAACTTGGTTATTGGTGGGCAAATCTCTAGGAATGATTTTTTTTCACCACTCTGCCTGTTTCCAGGACTGCAGTATGTTGTATGTTATGTGGCCAAAGTAACTGAACAGCGTCCCTTTACCCTGGTCTTACAAATTTTACTTCGCCTTGAAAGTCACCAAAAGAATTGAGAAAAGTGGACAAAGGGGATTATTTGGAATGTTCATCTCGGACTGGAGTTCAAGGTTAACATCAGTGCTAACTATTTCTGCTGCGGCCACAGCAGGAGTTGCTGATTAAGCTGCAGCCTTGTGGGCTACCTTTGTGGTTGGCTGGCTGTGTGTGAAGTAGGACAGCATAAGCCCCTCAAGAGGTCCATGGATCAGTCTAAATAGGTTTCCAGGCCCATTACATAGTAATTCAGTTAAATATGATATGCATATTTTCATTTTCTCCTTCATGAAAAAAAACACCATTGCCAACCAAGACAGCGCTCAAGTATTTTCCCCTGCTGACAGCATACACTGCCTGGAGTATAACATGACATTAATATGCAGAGTGAAAAGGAGAAGTGTCCTGTTGTTGCACTTAAGCCTCCATATAAATATTAAAAAGTGGTGGACGTGAACCTCTTCATACATCAACACACATCCTACTGTTTCCATTCTGCACTTTGTCAACTGGTATAGTTATATAACAGAGCCATGGTGCCGCAAACGCTGGAGGCAATTAGATTACCCACATCACCATGACTCACGTTGGGAATTAGGGTAAAGGAGTCTGTAATAAGCACATGTTGTATACTACCATACAAAAATTATACAAACAATAATGATAAAATCATAAAGAAATAACTATAGCAACAATCAGATTATTGTGAGTACTGTCTCATTAGAAATGAGCTGTCTCTGACTTTTCAAGTCTTGAAGTAGTTAAGCAATTCTTCTCTGTTCATTTTCTGAGTTGAGTTTTTGTGACTCTACACTTTGCTAAATGCTGATTGGTCTGTGAGGCTATACTTGGGCTCAGCATTGCTTTTATTTGAATTCTAGTACGGGCTTCAACCTGATTGGCTCATCGTGTTAATTACTTACTGATTATCTTAGAGACGCTAGCCAGATGGCAAGAAATTGCAAGACTGTGATTTTGTACCTACCATTGGTCAGGGGGATCCCCAGAGTTATAACTGTTCGTCCTGAGGGTAACATGGGTTTACCAACTTTTATTAAATTCCATTGCAAGCTGTAAAATGTTATTATATACCATCCTTGGAGCCAAGCTACAAGCTGTGGTTAAAGAAGCGCTTTTTATTTGTCTGACCCCAGTTTTTAATTTAACCTGGGTTTCATTCAATCAGAGTTGTTTTTGATGCTCATGCCATGTTTTCAATTTTAATACGCTGGGTTGTGATCCGTCTGCTGCAGCACAGATTTGACGGTCAAAGAGAAGCTTGGCAAGAGTCACATGAACTGAACAGTTTCAACAAGGTAACTGGTCAGGAAGTAACTGAAGGCAGGATGTGATTCTTCAAAACAAAGTCGGCTTCTAATTTGACTTGTGGCTCGAAAATAATTTGGGATTTCCTGATGTGACTGGACTTAAGACTTGAAAGGGATCAAATTTGATCCCAGTCTATTTCTATGGCAGGACAATTACAGGAACTTAACACTGCTTATTTAATTTATTGTTAAAGTTAATTGGTTTTTCAGGAGCACAGAGAAATTAGAGACATGTAATTTTTTTTCCATCTCTCTCCATCTGTTTCTCCGCAGATGGGAGGCACCATGTACAACACAGGGAAGCATGTGTCCCTGCGGCCCGACAAAGCCCACCTGGTGAACATCTCAGGGGGCCCGCTGGGTTACAGCTACCGGCTGGAGGAGGTCCGCCTCCACTTTGGGAGCGAGGATTCCCAGGGTTCAGAGCATCTCCTCAATGGCCAGGGCTTTCCTGGAGAGGTGAGAGACACATGGACAAATGACACATGTTCACACGGGTAAACAACAGAGCAAAGAACTGTAAGAGGCTGATAATTGCTGTTAGCAGACAGAACAACTGGTAAACTCATTTGGATTAACGACTACATGATTATTTTAACTCTGATTTATCACAGATGAACACCTGCATGTGCACAGGAAGCTGCAAACATGACATTCTTACAGTAGTAAGTTATTCTTCCACAGTCATTTCACATTAAAAATTGTGCTTTTCAATCCTGTTTTTAAAGCTCATCTTAATCTCCATCATGACAGCAACTCAAACCAGATTGACAAAATTGGAAAATCTGATGTTTCTGTGTCTCTGTGTCTCAAAATACTGCATTTGCTTTGTAAATCCAACATGTCCAGAGAGGCACCCAAAGCTGTGACCTTGTAAGATAAGTCATAATCTTATTGTGCGTTTGGTTTTGTGGTTCTATGTTTCACACAATGTTCGGAAGAGTTATCTCATCAGAGGAATTAACATTCATTGGATGCAGCCAAAGAACTGGAGCGTTTCCAGCTAAAGAGCCATTGCTCCAGGATGTCATTTCATGAACAGTAATTTTGGTGAATTTATGATTGCATGAGCAGGTTTAAGTTGTATGTGTGTGGGAAAATGTAAGTTTCTCTGATAGACATACAAGGACTATAATTCTGGGTATCTATAATGCCTGCTAATGCATTTATACCACTATAAAGAACCTTCAATTTTGTTCTCACAATATAAAACTAAGAAATATACAACTGAAGCTTGAAGCTCAAATAAATAAGAAGCACTCTAATAAAAGAGTGCATTAGGGCATAAAAAACAACATTAAAAAAACTGAAAGCATTGAAAGGGCCAGTTACTATTTCGGGAGGATTCATGCCACTTAAATTAATTTGACTCTAAAAAGCCTGATATCAAACAGTGCACTTATCAGCAAACACTGTGGAAAGACTGACGGTCACTTTACCCACATAGCTGGTATCCAAAGTTATTTGTATTGTAAAATTGTATTAGCTGTATTGCTAATAACTAAGAAGCTGATAGTATTTTAAAAGAATAGTGCTATCCTGAGAATAAATAGCAGTTTAAAGAAGTACCAATGATTTACCATTTTTCCTGAAATATGTTATCTTTTAATTTCATGTTTTTCCTTTGGGGTCCAGCAAATCTTGCAAATTTCAGAGATCAAGAATCGAGGCTGTCTTTACTGTCCCCTTTAGTACAGACAGCAGTAGGCACACAAACCTCAACTGAACGCAAGAGATGGACAATAAATACAACATAAAATACATAGAATAACACAGAAATGTAAAAGCAGGGCTTCAATGAATTAAAACCAATAGCAGCTCAGACAAATTAATTTCTGTAGCTGTGTGTCCAGCATGTATCTGCGGCCTGACGGGAGCAGCTTCTATATACAGAACAGGGGATTGTGTGGTACATCCAGAAAAGTGCAAGCCTTTTTCAGAGTCCTGTCCTCATGCAGCCGAGCATTCAGGGTTGTCCCTGAAATTCCCTGTGTTTGAAGTCACTCACACAAAGAAGACTGTAAGGACAGATTCATCAAAACAGGTAGAAAACATTTTTATAGAAGTATTGTCAACACACAATTGAGGTATTTATTGTACCTTACAAACTCAACAGCCTGACTGCTTATCACCATTGGGTTGCTGATAGTGTTTCTCTGGTCTTACTGATGTGGAGGAAGGATCACTCACACCACTCTGTAAATTCTGCTACTACAGGGAGAGGATCAGGGTCACTATGAATACAATTACATAATGACATGCAGTCCCATATGTCGGCTTCGACAAACACTGATGAAAAAGGTTGAGGTGATGGAGACCTGGAGGGATTTGCTGGAGGACACACCTTCACATGTTGTGATGGTTGGGACCTTATAGAATCTGTCAGCCAACATATCAGTCAGGGTTATTATGGATGCTCCATAACTGCTCAAATGTGGGCCTGAATACAATAATCCAAATTACCCTTATTACCTCTTACACAATCTTCTCCAATGATTCATGATTTCATGAGGGGTAAGCACTACATACAGGCCTGTAGTCTTTGGGTAAATTGACAGGTAATCGAATTTTTCCAAAGACAAGGAACACCTGGAGGTGTCTGCCTACTATGGTGGTGGTCCGACATACACATTGCTTTTTTTGTGATAGAAAGTTTCACTTCTTTTATCTTTTAAATACGAAATTATTTGTACATTTATCAGTACTAAGAGTTGTGATGCTCATGTCATTGTGTCATTGTGTCTTTTTCTCAGGTCCAGCTGATTCATTATAACCAAGATCTGTACGCCAACTACACCGAGGCAGCTAAGAGCCCTCACGGCATCGCTGTGGTCTCCATTTTCATTAAGGTCAGCATGTCCAGCCGGTCGTACAGTGGAACAGTGTGGAGGACCTATTAAGAAACAAATACACCTAATAAACAGTGCATGTGTGTGTGTTGAACAGTGTTTTGTGATGAATATTTGATCCTCTTCTCTCTGTCATATCTCAGCTCTCTGAAAACTCCAACGCCTTCCTCAACCGTATGCTCAATAGAGACACGATCACCAGAATCAACTACAAACGTAAGAAGCACAAGCTCACACACACACACACACACACACACACACACACACACTCTGCCTGTATTATTTAGCTAATTCTGTTTTGAACATCAACACACGTATGTGTCTGGCTGCACTTCACCGGGCACATTTAGAATAAAAAAACAACCAAATCATTAACAAACGTCATAATAACAAGTTACATTAACTCTTGTTATGGAATTTGTTTTACTTATATTTTTAAGAATTAATAAATTCCCTCTTTTGCCGTGGTCCAGACAACTCAGAAGTCGAATATTCCGACTTGAGATTTTCTGAGTTCGGACTTCCAAGCGTTCCAGTGCACGGTGCATATGGCACGACGTCCAATCTAGACAAACAAGGCTGACTGTGAGAAGCTGAGGTTTATATTGCTCATGATGAGACAATTCAACTGTGACCAGTGCAGCCTCCTTGCATACATAAACAAAGCAGAGGAGGGAAAATAATAAAAAGTCAGACATCTGAGTTGTCTGGAACGTGGCATTAAAAGGTCCACTGTGTAGGCTTTAGGAGGATCTATCAGCATCAGTGGAATATAATACTCAGAATTATGTTTTTGGGTGGGATAATTACACAAAAAATAATTATCCAAAATAAGAATTGCTGTATTTTTGTAGCCTTAGAATAAGCCCTTCCAATTTCTCTTTAACAGACTTCGCATGTTTCTATAGTAGCTCCGGAGAGACAAAACCATACAGCTCTAGGGAGGCCCCTGGAGGTCAAAGTAGGTTCTCTGATATGCGTGGAAGTGGAGGGTGAGGTGAGGGGCATTTTAATCTAATTCAATCAGATTTTATTTGTAGAGCCCATATTCACAAATCACTATTTGTCTCATAGGGCTTTAACAAGGTGTGACATCCTTAACTCTCAACAAGTGTCAGGTTTCATTATGAGGTTTACACATTGTTACTCTATACACTTCCTACAATTCCTATATACTGTTTACATTTTATATAATGTCGTCTCTCTTATGCACTGCTTACATTTTCTAATGCTGCTATAAACTGTTTATATTCTTACACAGTTTCTTTCACTTTCATGCACTGTTGCATTTTTATACACGGTCTTCTACACTTCAATGCACTGTTTATAGTTTTACACACGGTTACACTACATTCCGATTCCACAATTTAGTGTTTATTGCTTTATTATTAGTGTTTATTCAATGTTTACACCACAGGTTTGAGAGTCTCACAATTTCAATACTACATATGTCTTGTACATTTGCAGAATTGACAATAAAGCAAACTTTGAACTTTGAACTTTGAAGAGTAAGGAAAAACTATTTAGTTTAGATTTGTAACTTCACTGCTCGATGCCAGTAGATCCTGCACACTGAAAGTCTGAATATTTTGTGACTATAATTATAAATATAAAAACCACTTCCATGATGAATCTATGATTATCCATATGAGCATAACGGCAAATGAAAAGAGCCAAATCAGCAGACCTCTCTGTCTGTGCTGATGCTGATGGTTTGGATCTTTTCATCTGTTGTTGATGCACCAATCAGTGACCACTTCATCATTTTGCAGCACCAGTAGATGACGCTGGGTGTGGTTAAACACTAAAAATTCTAAAATACTAATGGTGAATCCTTCAGTTGAGGCATGAATATTCTCATCTAGTCTGTGAGCGTGACGTTTTTCATCATCACTGTTATGACTACAGCTCAAAAGCTGCAGCAGCTCAGTGAGTCAGAGAGGCTGAGTGCAGTGGTTATCATTTACAGTGTGAGCAGGATTTCCATGAATCCATTGAAACCAAAACATTAGGGCTGTGTTTTAGCATAGACCTCACAGTATGACACATATCACAATGCATGGGTCACGATTTGATACATCACAATATATTGCGATACGACACGATACAGATTGTGATACATACCATCACTTATTATTACACTTATTATTATATTGTTTTATACTCAGGATGTGAAAAACACAATTTGTAGTGTATCACCTTGATAGTCTTATTCGTACATCACATGTTATTGATGAAACAAAATAAATTCAACGGACTAAAACTCCTTAATTTTTCATTCCAAGGAAAAATGTTTGCATTACATATTGGCACTGAGCAGCGAACACACTGAACTGAAATGAACTTGCCGGTAACATTGTACGAAAATAAACTGCGTATTTAAAGGAATAATTCACTGCTGGGAGGATGGCTTTAACACAACTTAATTTATTCATGAATATTATTTGATGTATTTATTTAGGGAATCAAAATTTAAAAAAAACACATCACCGCTGGTGCAACATGACGAGGAGAAAACAGAGAAACAGGGTGTGGTATTCCCTTTTGCCCAAAAGATAGAAATACTTCAACACCCAGAATGCACTGGGCACTCCTAGCCTAAAAAATCTTAATATTGCTGCCTGGATATTTTTGCACAGCTCTACCAAGCATGTTATGCAAGTCTTGACTTTACTTCAGGCTCAAAACACTTCACTGCTTTCAACAACTTTAAATAAATACTCCTTCATAATTTGTCTCCCATCCTTGGTCGGGACTGTGGGGACACAACTACAGCTCCGCTCTGTGGCTGTTTCTGAAACTGAGGGCCATGTGTTTCATGATGTGTAGCTCTGCTAATGTTGATAGATGTGTCATATGGCATTGTAGTTATGATGCTGATTCATTTATGATACTGATTCATTTATGCTATACAATGCAAATATGTTCCAACCTAGATTCTCCGAGGCTGAGTGGCCTGATGCGCACAACTGCTGATATAAGTTTGAACCACTTTCTTTCTTTCCCTTCTTTCTTTGTTACCCTGATTTTGCTCTTTTTGGAGAAAGACCAGACAGATACTTGACAGCTGTTGTTGACGGAGAACATAATATGATATGTGAGAACAGCTCTGCTGTCTGAGCATCTGACAGCAAGGCGAGTGCAGGGTCTTGGCTTGTGTCTTGAGAAGTTGTAGCATTCATTAACTGACAAACAGACCCTGTTGAGACCTGGTGTGATCATTTGTCTGTCTTGATCCAATCATAACTTGGCAGCTCTAAGTTCAGGTGTGAATGAACCCAGGACACATTGAGGCCAGATTTGAGGCTTAATCACTCAGACCATATTCTGAGGCCACGTTTGTTTATTTGTATGAAAGCGAGTGTGTCCTGGGCCACACTGAAGGACTGAGCTGACGTCCTCTGTCCTGCTTCACTTTCATAATGGACTCAGTATTTTTACACTTCTCCTAGTCTCATATACATTGATTTCTTTGTGGCCACCGCCATAATATTAACACTGAAGGCTGCATATTGATTTTCAAATTTCTTTTAACTGTTTCAAATGAGTAAAATCTTTCATCGAGCTGTAGAGCTGCCTGAAGCCCATTGATTTGCTCTGCTGCTCCTGTCTTTCTTTCTTTCTCTCTTTCTTTCTCTCTTTCTTTCTCTCTTTCTTCTTCTTCTTCTTGTTCTCACACGTCACAAACACATACATAAACACACATACACTCGCTTTATAGTCAGACAGGCTAAACACATCATGTGGTCTTTGCTAGATGTTAAATGTTAAATTACAATAATATATTTGCATATAGAGCTGGAAAGTGAGATCACATCACAAGTGGTCACAGGAGACCCGTGCGGAGATGCATTATAATGTCCAGCGTCAAATGATGTTCCACCTCTCTCAAGACACATGTTGGTAGGTCTGACCAGGGCCATAGTCTAAGCCAGGGGTGGATCTAGGAGTTGACAAGATCTGGGGCTTTAAGCCCGAGCACCCCAGCTCTGGGCTTATCATTTTTTTGGGATGGTATGTATGTGCAGAATTCAATTTTGCTGAATTGTATAATTACTGCAAACATGACATTTCACTCACTTTCACAGTTGATAGAAATGTCTTCAGAAGTTTCACTCTTAATAACAATTATTATAAACTCACTTAAATGTACTGTGAAGAGTAGCACTGCATAATGAATTTGGTTCTGCAAACACAAGACACTGGTCCAGTCAGAGTTGGAACTTGTTTTTAAAAGCACACAACTTTAGTGCGCCCTATGTGTATTGTGTAAGATTTTGGCTTTAGTATAGTGTTAAATACAGCACAAAATGTATTGTTGTACCATCTGTAACCTGTGAAAAAGTCTCTCTTTCCCTGGTAATATATGCCTCTAATCCTGGGTTAGTGTCTTAAATATCAATATCTCGATATGTGGAGGTTCTCTAATATACTTTGGCCACAGGACCTTAATTTGTTACATGTTGTCTTGCATTGTCTTGTTTTGAAAGGAGACTGGCGGTAGCACTCTACAGTCCGACCTCCAGCCCACACAAAACACAACAGACGCTGATTTATGAGAATAGTAAGGGGGAAAAAAGGGAGGAAAAAGCCACCCCTAGCTCCGCCCCTGGTCTAAACTGCACATACATCACACCGCTAGTTCACAGCTATACTGCCAACTTCTAAATCTCTGCTCCATACACACACATACACACACAAACACACACGCATACAGCATCTTGTTTTCGTCCCTCAGGAAGACAGTGCCAGTGAGTTATATTAATCATCTGGAGACGTACACTGATATGAAACAAAAAGTAAACTTTAACCTTGAATGTTGAAGCCTGTGGGAAACATCTTTCTTTTGGCCACAAATGGGAGGTGAGTCCCATAATGTGATTGCATGCAGTCCTGATTACGACAAGAACACACACAAATAATAACACACACACACACACACTCACACACTCTCTCTCTCTCTTCACTAACATTTTTATGCTTTTTCTCAGACAGGCAATTTCTTTGAATAGGTCCAAACTTATAGATTTATACTCAAACGTAATGTTCTCCATTACACACACACACACACACACACACACACTCACACACACACACACTTCCTCTTTTTTAAGAGCATTCTTGTTAATGTGTCTGAACATAAACGGCATCTCTTTAACACTCACCTTCTTTCTCTCTCGTCCTCTCTCTCTTTAGATGACGCGTTCTTATTGATGGGCCTGAACATAGCGGACCTTTACCCTGACACCACACGTTACATCACTTATGAGGGCTCCATCACTATCCCTCCCTGCTACGAGACGTCCACATGGATACTCATCAACAAGCCTGTCTACGTGACACAGATGCAGGTATGTGAGGGCACGATACCTAAATGTGATTCTGGGGGCTGGGGAAAAAACACTGTAATTTACGAATTCCTTGCTGGTGCTGGGCATTTTGAATTGCAAATTATGACCTCATAACCTGTAAGTGAAAGCCTCTGCTTTTTCATGAGTGTTTTTAGATAAAAGCGGCTGTGTGCTTGCACCAGAAATGTACTAAAATGCAGTGCATATACATGCAGCACAGAAAAGTATCCGAATGTTCAGTTGCACTGCCTCTCAGTAGTCTGAAGGTCTACAAATAGGGGCTGTGGTCTCTTTTGTTTGACTGGTCAATATGCTCTAAACCGACCAAATCCTCATACCACTGTTACTTTCATTAAAAGTGTTAGGCTGGGTCTGCGCTCGCTCTTCAAACCCAGAGTGCAGCACACCAACAAGTTTTAAAAACACACATTGACTGACCAAAGCATCTCACACAGAGGCACACACACACTGACAGGAGGACCAACCAGTGGATGAGATGTGGCGGCACTTATTTACTAAATTAACTAACTGAATTGTTTGTTGTTTATTTTATTCAATTCTGCTTCAACATGTTTGGTCTAATAATTAGGTCAGGATGACTAAACATGGTGATTAAACAAGCAGTATTGATGAGTGTGTGTAACCTGGTGTAGATCCAAATAGAAATCCAGATCTAGTCCACAGTCAACTCTTTCTTACTGCAACACATACTGTTGTATGCTGCAACAACCCGCTCGTGTAGATACATGCTGCACAACATCAGGAGAATACGTCCCCCTTCTCACTCAGAAGGCGGCTCAGAGTCTGGTCCAGGCTCTTGTCATCTCAAGTCTAGACTACTGCAACTCCCTCCTGGCTGGTCTGCCTGCTAATGCCATCCGACCTCATCCAGAATGCAACAGCTCGACTGGTCTTCAACCAACCTAAGTTCTCTCACACTACACCGCTCCTCTGCTCCCTTCATTGGTTACCAGTGGCTGCCTGTAGCCTCCTCAAGACATTAGTGATTGCGTACTGTGCTGCGAACGCATCGGGTCCAGTCCACATCCAGGACACATCAAACCTTACACCCCAGCCCGTCCACTTCACACTGCATCAACCTAAATGGTGGAACGAGCTCCCATTGACATCAGGACAGCAGAAAGTCTACACCTCTTCAGCCGCAGGCTAAAGACACATCTCCTCTGGCTACACCTTGGTTAAGAAGATGAATAACTCTGGTGTTTATATAAAAAATAGTTTTTATTTTATGTGCACTTAAATATTGAACTTACATGTAGCACTTGTAGTTTGGCTTTTTTGAAGACTTATTATAGTCACATGGTTCTTGCTGTTCTGGGTTTGTTCCCTCATGGTTAAATGCACTTATTGGAAGTTGCTTTGGATAAAAGTGTCAGCTAAATAATATATGTAATGTAATCTAGTGAATCAAATGTGGTTTCTTTCAGGGACTGTTTGGCCTTGGCAGAGGTATTCTCTCTCTGAATGCTATTCTAGTTTACTCCTGCTTTCACTCACTGTCTGCCAACCCTCTCTAATCTCTTTCATCTTTCTTTTTCTTTTATTATTTAGTTGTTTTTTCATCTCTAACTTTCTTGACCTTTTGTCTGAAAAACCTGTCTCCCCTGTCTGTGGGAGAAACCAGAAACAGGTTTAATATGTATGTGAAGTACATTTTCACATACAAGCAAATTGATTTGGTTTTTTGGTGCATAAGAGTCAAAACCATGAAAGGTAGACTTTTACACGTGCACACCCTTGTACCACGTAAGTTAATCCATTATTAATTGAACCTATATTTGTACTTTATAGAATATAGTTTTTGCCAATTAACAACATGTGTATATATGTGTTCAAACACACTGGATCAGACAGTGTGATCATTTAGTGATAGTCAGGTGTGTCCTAATCTGAGAAGTCAGATGCCGACCATAACTGATTCATCCAGTGTCTTTGAGAGCATTTCAGCTGTGTATCTAGCAGGCATGTCAACATGTCATCTTCCATTTTTAAAACAATATTATAAAAACAAAATCAAGAGCATGCACACATGCAATACAATACATAAATGCATTCTCCAGCAATGTCCAGCTCATTAAATCTTTTGCAGCACCATCTGCCACTGTAATCTAGTTATCAATTTAAATGTCATCTATCAATACATTTAGTACATTCATTTAAAGGTGACATATTCTGCTTGTATTCTGGTTAATCATTTTAATTAGTGCCATTATTTGAAAACTTTTACAGGTTCTAATGTTCAGAAAACACTGTCCATTGCTTCAGCCTCTGTCTGGCTCATTCTGTTGTGATAAGTCAGTCGCTTCTAGCGTGTGAATTGTCGACCCTCGCTGTCACTTTATCTGGCTTTTTGAGCAGTCTGTGCCAAACACTCTGTGTGCACAATGCAAATGTGGGGAGTTGTAATGTCACATGACATAATCGGAAGTATCAGGAGGTGTCAGGAGGACTTCTGAGGAGGTGCTTGAGCAGCTTCAGGTCCAGTGTTTCTGTAGGGGAGAGGAGCTCCATTTCATTTGGGATTTTTGATTTTGCACACCTTAGAAACTAAAACACAGCACAGGAAACCCAACCCCAAACCCACATTACAGTGATCTAAATCAAGACAAACAAGTCACGTCAAATTCAATTCAGAGTTGGCTCTTTAATATGGGCTCCATACTCATGTGTCTGTCATGACTTGAAGGTAGTTTGTGATTTCCATGGTCAGTCAGTATACAGGTGCTGCAGTATAGAGTGGAGAGCTTATGCTTTGGAGATTGTATCCCCTCTTTGTGTTGATGATGTTTTGAACCTTTATTAGACCCTGGGGCAGTTTGAAACCAAATGTTAAGTGGATGAGATGAGAGTGATCGCCTCTGAGCCTACAGCCATGATACTCTTTATCAAAATGGTGCAGTTCCTCTTTTGGGTTTGGAACAAGTTGCTGCCTTAGATGAAGTTACCCCCACCCATGTATCTCTGGACAAGCTTCAGAGTTACATCTACAAACGGGTGCACTGTTGGCAGAAAGGTGTGTGTCATACTGGATTGCTCTAGCGGAGTGGGTTCTAAGCCTAAAAGCATGCATTGGGATGTGAGCGCAAGAATTAGACAGCGGACACAAAGAAACAGAGGGTGTCTGGGCTCCCCCTCAGGGATGGGGTTTGAAGCCCGGACATCCAGGAGGAGCTCAGAGTGATATGGGAATCCAACTGGCACCCTGGAGTTTGCTGTGAAGGTACTCAGGGTTAAACCAAGAACAAGCTTACACATCCAATCTGGACTGGAAATGCAGCAGGATCCCCAACAAGGAGCTCAAGAATGTATCTCATGAACTTTCTCTCATGTTTTTTGTTTTGGCTCATATTGATATTGAATTGGCTCGTCACTCTCTCTGTCCAATTTTATTGATTTCACAATCAAAAGCATTCTTTGCCTCACAGTTCTAGAGCAGAGAGAACCGAAAGTTGTATACTCACACAAAGTGCTTGACTTCTATACTTACTGGAGCCAGCATTGAGAGATTAACAGCAGGTTAAGACGTAGCATGGGGACTACCTCTTCAATTAAACTAAACTTAGCTGAACTAAATTCTTTCTGGGCTTTTAACTCTGATAAACCCATCTTAACCTTCACCCAGTCACCTTGGACATAACATTTGTCCTCCACAGATGCACTCCCTGCGCCTCCTCAGCCAGAACGAGCCTTACAAGATCTTCATGAGTATGAGCGACAACACCCGGCCCACCCAGCCTCTGCTGCAGCGTTGCATCCGAACCAACATCAACTTCAGCAAGCAGGGCCGCGACTGCCCCAACAACCGAGCCCTCCGCCCACAATACAGAGGTAATCTGGAGGATGGAGAGAGAGACCTTTTCCATTACTTTTACTTGTCTTACTTGTTGCTAAATTTGCTAAATGTCTACAGTACATGGATCCCATTTACTCCCTTATAAGCAGCCAGGAAAATTCCCATTAAACCCAATGACAAATAAATCTCTATTAGCACTTGTCACTTTCATATGTTTTAGCCAAATTTTACAGTGGAATATTTATCCATATTACATTTACAATTTGGTGGACATGACAGTCAGAGTTCAAAGGGCAGTAGAAGGCATTTTATTTATTGTCTCTCACAAAAGTTTACACCACACACTTTGCAGTAAGTTGCGGGCTATAAACTGAAGTGGTACCACATGAGATAATGCTAACAGATGTCAGCAAGTTAGATAGCTGCAATAAATAGTATATATATAGTAAATACAGTATATATGTTGCACTGAATGATGTTACTAACATTACTACTGATGAAACCAGAAAATCTAGACTTGACTTTTGTTAGGTCGCTGCTATTGTGAGCTGGAGACATCGCTCATATTTAAAAAAAAATTGGCAATTGCTACTGTGGTGTAAATGGAATTACGTTATATGCCTTATGCATCTGCACAACAGTGTCTAATGAGAACAACAGTGGTACTAAAATACACATTAGTAGTAAAATACACAGTATAATTTTGTTCAGGAATGTTAATGTGTTATCTTTTATGGTCTCAAACCAAAATAGGTGTAAGTTAGTTGAGAGCGACTAGAAGCCAGAAAAAATGGAGATTTAAACAGAGACAAACATCTCCTTGGAGCAAGAGAAGGGTGTGTGTGCATGCGTGTGTGTGTGTGTGTCTGTGTGTGTGTGTGTGTGTGTGTGTGTGTGTGTACAGTAGGAGTGGGACTTTATTGTATATTGGTGCAGATGTAAAAGCAGGAGTGCGTAGGTGAGCTGGTTGGCGTTCAAGAGAAGCACACATGCAACAAACATGGATGTGTTATGCAGAGAGCGTGTAGGTGTCTTCGTATCCTTTAGGAAAAACACACTTGACAACCCCTCCTGTGCACTGTGAATATCTTTGTTATTGATCTGCTCTCCACAGCATCAAATATTTTTGGGCCTCTGCTTCCCTTTGATAATAGCTTGTTACAAAGCAGAGCTACAAAATAAATTTCGGTTTTCAAGGTCAGAGAGAATAGAGAACACAGTGGCAACGAGTTGTCAGGAACCAGTCGTAGCTTGTATTGTAAAAAAAGGAAGACAGACTAATTCTGGACAGTCGAAGAGAACCGAAATAGAAACAGAAATGCCATGTGGACCTAATTAAAGCTGAGCTGCAACATCGCATACATTCTAAAGTAACATTTTTATAGTGACCCTGTATGACCCTATATCATCGAGTCAGATATGGTGAATAATTGGAAATAGATGGAAGACGTAAAGAAGAAAAAGAAAGTAAGGTGGAAAACATAATCAAGTCAAATATGCATTATTTTTAATGTGTGAAGGTCAACAGATATTCAATTTAAATAGCAACATTTATCCTACTACTCAATTCACATTAACTACTAATGCAGATACAAAATAATTGTGGGCACTATTTTTTATCAAATGGTAAAGATATTGTACATGGCCTCCAGCAAATAAAATGAATAAATAAGAATATAAGCAGGGTGGCAGCACAATTAGATGCTTTCATGTCTGATGGGACACTAATGAGGGATAATTTGTTTTTGGCTTCAAGGCTATTTGATGTCTGGTCTTAGTGGTTTTACAGATTGAAATTAATAGAAAACAAAGAGCTTGGAATTGATTGTGTTATTTGATCAACTAACAAGCAACTAACAGCCTAATGGAGTCACAGTCAGTCACATTCAGACGCAAACTTTATCCTGAGTAACAGAAGGAAAGAAAGTCCTGTTTAGTCCAAAACCAAGAAACTGGTGTACCCCTGTTTTAACACTGCAAATTAAACTTTTGTTGCTTCTGTTATATTTTCATGGAGGATCATTAATGTAACAAATATTAAGGCCAAGGGAAGGAAACATTTCCCAGATTTGAATAAACAGGTGACCAGCACTCTGAGGCAGCGGCGGCTGGGATGCATCAACATATTTCATTTTGTCACTTGACAACGGGTCTGTGAATTGAATCGAGCTTCACCGAAACTTGAGCAGCTCCTTGTGCAGCAGCGGTGGTGCAGCCGTGGGGTCCTGTGGAGTCCTGCAGCAGGTCCTTACTTGTAGCAGCGCAAATACAGCAGATTACTTTTACTGTTTCAGAAAGGAAGCTGCAACCAGCATCGCCACAGGTCGAGCAAACAGGCATGCTTAGAATGGGCACTGCACTAGTAATAGCAAAAAATATATATATATATAAAATAATAATAACATTTTTAGCAGTTAGTATACTAAAAAGCCTGCATTCTGTACAAATATCAATCAATCGATCAAATTTTATTCGTATAGCCCATATTCACAAATCACAATTTGTCTCATGGGCTTTAACAAGCTGTGACATCCTCTGTCCTTAATCCTCAACAAGAGTAAGGAAAAACTGCAAAAAAGACATTTTAACAGGGAAAAAAGAATGAAGAGACCTCAGAGAGAGCCACATGTGATGGATCCCTCTCCCAGGACAGACAGAATCGCAATAAATGTCATGCGTAATGGAGAACGTCAGAAATAGTAGAGTAATTACAGCATTGGTTAAAATAAACAGTATGTAGCATGATGGGAGGTCAATGAATTGAGGAATTATTGTCAGTAATGGTCGAGTATCTGAGGAGACGTATTAAGCAGTCTTGTTGTAATCATAGTCCACGATCAGATCAGAATACTCCATCATTAAAATCCATCATAATGATCCACTGCCGCCATCAGGATCCACCATCAGCTGCCACCTTGATCATACATGATTTCATCACTGCATAAAGTCAAGAAGTAGAACAGAACTGGAACAGAGATGCAGTCTTATTTCTCTCCTAACTTTGCCTCTCATTATCCTTACATATCGTATCTCACTGTCTTTTTCTTCACATTTCCTGAAACCTGAAGCACACCTTTATTCTGTAATATTCCGCTTGGCTTATCAGTTTTCTGTATTAATCTCTTCTCTTTTCTTCACTTCTCTTCACCAGTGAATCAGTGGCTCCTGAAATAGGAGATGAAAAGATGTCGAGCTGCAGCACCCTAGGAGGAGAAACGGAATGCATTATTTTAATTCTTTTTCTTTTTCACACGCAAATCAGAGCTGAGCTGAACACGCGATAACTGAAGTGAGCCTGCTGCTGGAGCTAAGAGACAACTTACAGACAACTCAATCGCACCTGAGCTCAACTGACCAAACTCCCAACAGTTTGCTGCGGTGGCCTCCTACACATCCACAACTTAAACACAGTTCGTGCAGGCCAGCACTGTGAGGACACAGATCAGACTTTGAGTCCAAGGTGTGAAAAAGAGCATAAGACCCATGATGTCTTCACGGTACTATGTTTTTACTTGTTGTGTAAACTCACAAAGACTGAGATGTAAAGACTCAATCATTTTAATTTATTTCTCTGGTTTTCAGAAGAATGGATGTTATCTAAAGACTACAGTATGTGCTGTTTGGCTGTGATCATTACCTGTCCACATTCAAGGCAATAATGATCATCCTCTGATTGGAGGGATTGTTACATATCTGTGGTATGATGTGAGATATAAAAATGTGATGGTTCAAATAGTAACAAGAAAGAGAATATAAAAAAGAGAATGTAAAATGTCTAATAACAGGTGGAAGGAACAGGAAGTGACTGCACCTCTGACATTTTACAGACCCGAACAGAGGCTGTGTCCGAAATCACCCTCTAACTTACTAACCCCTACTTCAGCAAAAAATCAGCAAAAGAAAAAAACGCTTTTGCACACTACTTGGTGCATTTTCTCTACATTGGCACAATACATTTCAAATGTTTATTTTACACTTAGGTTTGATACTTTTACATCTCATAAAAATGTTAATTGACAACCTTTTAATGTAAGAATTAAGCTGATGGCCACAGTTTGTGCTGTGATGCTCTGCTCTGCTCGTATTTACATTTGTACGACAGGCGGCTGTTCCTGGTGCCCTCTCTCCTCTCATCTATACCCCCCAAGGGCAATGCATGATGGTATATAATGCTCAGTTAGTGACCATCAGTTGTGCACTACTTTTCATGATGCATTGTGGGAAACAATGCACTATATAGTTCATAGAGTGCACTATATAGGGTATACAACCTTTCACTAAAGTGATTTCGGACACAGCCGGAGTTACTGACAGTGGAAAGAGGATAGGTCACTCATTTTCCATGGTTTTGTTATAGTTCACTTGTCTTCAAGGTATTCAGTTAAAAAGAATTGAGAGAATCTGCTCCGCATCAGGTCCCTGCTTTGACCAATATAAGGGGCAGGCCTCCCCTCTGCAACTTCAAGAGCTCAGAGACACACCAAAAAAGTTTAATCAAAAGTTGTGAAGGACTACTTCTCTTACGCTAGCAGAATGACCACCCACTAACCACTTTCCCCAGATTATGGCTTTGACAAAAATCACAAGGGCAAAAAGTGGGAGGAATTGATTAAACAATGTGTGTATCTGCAACCTACTGCAAATGTTAGCGTGTCCAGCAAATTAGCTTAATTGACAACAGCATTTTTCATAAACAGCCAGGGGGCACATCATTAGCTTACTACATTGTTTTGTGAGGTTATTAAAATGACTCTGTGGGAGCCACAATGCTTGGCTAAACCTGCAGGTGACAGCGTTACATTTGCCAAACTCATTCACCTAACATTCGTGTAAATAGAGTAAAACATAAATATCCCTTCTCTGCTCCTGTCCGGATGTTGTCTATAATTACCATCAAAACCATAGGATACCCTATTTTTGTTACATTTCTATAATAGAATATCTTCTACACTGATCATAAACTGCTGACTTTTTGCCTGGAGGATGCAGCTTTACCTTCGTTTAGCATTACACCATGTTTCAAACACAAGACTACCCCTTTTTAGAGGGGTCTGCTAGAAGTATTATAAAGGAAGAATCCACAATCAACTCAAATCATTGTAAACTGAGATATGCATTATTATTATAACATGGATGGATTTCTGTCACATTTAACAACAGTGAGGGAGAGAGACAAGGTAAAAGTGATCTTTGAGTTCAGATCCCTCATTTCAGAATAAGATTTCACTGGCTTGAAATCGCATTGATGATGAAAACTGCTGTTGATGATAATTAACTCCACATCTTGTCATTGCTGTCTGTTTTTCTATTAACAAGAGACTGCTAAAACTACTAAATGGTTTAATTTATTGAAACTTGGTGGAGGGGTGGGGTATGAGCCAAGGAAGAACCCATTCTTTCAAATGGGTCTCAGAGTGTCCTTCTACATTATCATTTTGTTATTGGAGTCATAAATCTTCAAATTGTGCCCAAATAGGTCGATGCAGTTTGTAAAAAGTTGTAAAATGAGTGACCTAAAGCATGCAAATTGTGGATGGACACCATGGATCAACCATGGATCAACACAGACATAACACTCATTGGATTGCTTTGTTCAGTTTGCTGTGATGTTTTATGTCATGAGGGGAACAATGTAGTTTGATGCAAATCATAATGTAACTGTAATAAATAGATGGAACTGTCACCAGGGTGGAGATCAGTGTGATCATATAGAGCTCAGTAGAGATATTCACAAACATCACCACCTTTAAAGCATAGACTGTATATATAGATGGACAACGCATCTCCACATCCTCCCACTATCCTGAAATGAAGCCAAAATATCCCTTCATACGAATGCTGCCATCTTGCACATTTGGAATCTTCAAGTTCAAGTTCAAAGCGTTTATTGTCATATATACAGTCCTGTACGATGAAATTCTTTCTTTGCCTTCCACTATGAATACCGTGCTTTTAAGAGTTATAAAAAAAGTACAATAAAGCATCTGTGCAGTGTAGTGCAAAAGACAGTAAACATGGTCTTATTGAGTCTGTGCAAAAACAAACATTCTGTCATATTCTTCATAGTGTCCAATAACTGAAACGAAACTTACTGGATAAGTGAGCTCATATACATACATCAGTGTGAAAAGAACATAAAGTGATAGAAACCATCTTTAAGAATAACTTTTAGATTGCCAAATGTCCCATCTGCTAACATGGAGGATTTGTGACCTATACTGCAGTCAGCCACCAGGGGGGGATCAAGACAATTTGGCTTCACTTTTGGGGAGTATAGTCCATCTTTATATATGGTCCATGCTATGAACATGATTTCCTTTCCGAGTCCCTTGAAAACCCCATGAAAACAAGGAATGGATGCTTGGAATTAGCTTGATAACTGATAACGCATTGTTTTGACAAATATGGCTGCTGTGACTGTTTGTTTAAAGCATGAAACAAGTGAATTTAACTCAGGTAGGAAATTAAGTGAAATAAGAAGTAAAAGGGCAACAACATACGACTTATAATTGTACTAGTTATAATACAGCAGTGTACTCTAGGACAGTCGAATGTGTGCCTCCCTAGAAATGTAACAACCCCTCTCATAGGCACAGACCATATGTCTCGTCCATATCTCCCAGACAGGCACACAAAACTCATCCTCACTCAGTCAGGTCAATGATCACGCACCATCTCCTGCATCGTCTCTCTTTTCTTTCTCAGTCATTTCAGTAAAAGTCAGTCAACATTTACTTGCTCCACCATGATCTTCTCAGTTTCAGTTGCCATTGTTTGAAGTACTTACAGTGCCATAGAAACCCCACTACCAAACAGCATATGGCAATGTAATTTCAAAGTGACACAGACACACCAACGCGCCAACAGAAATGTTCCCAACTTGCGGAGGCTCTGCATCAGTCCTGCACATAAGAATAAACCAAAGTTTAGAGTGTCCTCCAAAAAAGAATTCATGCACAACCCTGAGAAACTTAGCTGAAACTTCTGTAAATGGTCTGTATTTATATAACACTTTTCTGTCTTGATGACCAGTCAAAGCGACTCACAGGAAGACTGGGATAGAGGTAGATAGACAGTTCTTAACCCTGAGTCACAGCCAATAACTTTGGTGAAAATAGATTAATTTGATACCGTTTACTTGTAATGCTGAACTAGCAGAGCTTGTCATCATTTGCAGTGCATTTCGCTATCTTTGGAAATATATTTGACCAACAAATACGTTGTATTCAGGCCCACATAGTTTGAATGCAATGATGTCAGTGAGTTTTGTTTGTGCTAGTAAGCACAGGGATATGATGCTGAACCTATCCTGTGAACAGTGGGGAGTATCTACTATTTCTCTCTCATCTCCATCTTCTCTTTCACTCAGCCTCTTCAGCTTGTCCTGTATCTCTTCCCTTCACAAAGCTGAGCTTTGATTGATGCAGGCATTTCATTTTCCTCTGTGTCAGTGAAGAAAGCAGGTTCAACTGATATTTATATGCAAATGTTACCAGCTCCTGCTAGGATCATCTTGCAGGGAAAATAATAATATAAAGAGGTAATTTATTTTAACATGCTTTTCAGCCCTGTACAGGAGTTAAATTCAAAGAAAAGTATTTCAACTTTTGGCTAAACTTTAGCAGTCCGACTTAAGATCCAGCTCTGATAAGACTGTTGGTTCCGTGTATGTGCGAGCGCAGAGAACCTATTGGTCAGATGCCGTGGTGGGTAATGAAGCAATCAAGCAACAAGCAGTCAAATGGTAATTATCTCATCTTGTAATTCTCAATTTACCAGTAGGGTTGATTCAACAGTCTGGTGCGGTGGCAAAATAAAAAAAAGATATATAGATGTATTATTGTTTAGATACTTTACACACAAGCAATGATGCTGGTGATCAGATAAGACTGTTCATCTTTGTGTTTGGATCTTTGTTGCACCAAAGTACAGTTCGCTGTAGGCAATTATTTCAAGACTTTTATTCTGTACAACTTGGAAGAAAATACTACGATCTTAATCTCTGGAAGTTACAAAGTATTGTCTTTTGTATTTCTATGACAGTGTAACAATATTTCATATCATTACATTACAACGATGCAAAACATTTGACATATAATTAGAAGTCTTGTGCTGCCCTCTGGTGTAGTTTCTTTGTTTACACAGATCTCTTTCTCTGTTGGCTTTCTCTTCAGAGTGTAAGTGCAGCTGTGTAAGAGACTGGACTTTCTTGTTGGAGCACCACATTTTCACCATTATATGCCATTCCACCTGCAGCTGCAGCTCCAAGCACTAGCCTGCACTTCCTTCTGGAAAACAATTTTGTGGTCTAATTTCAGTGCTGTTCAAATACCCAAAGACCACTCCAGTTTTAGCCCTGTCAACTTTCAGCCAACACCTAACGCCAACACCCTGCAACTTTAGCGAAGAATAAAAACTGGAAACAGAGGGAAGCTGCTAGCCTGGAGGCCACCAATGCCCAAAGAACACAAGTAAAACTCACAAAATTGTTCTTTCTCATAGAGGAAGTGCTGCACATAGTTGCACTGCATGAATGTGTGTGTGAATGGATGAATGGCAAAAACTGTATGTAAAGAGTTTGGAGTGGTCATCAAGACTAGAAAAGTGTTACATACATACTGACCATTTACCATTTACTATACCACTAAACAACCACAAAAAGAAAAGAAAAAGAAACTCCAACTGTACACAAAACAGGAGTAAATACAGTGATATACAAATTCAATCTCATTATTTCAGCTCTAGCCCCTGTGGTACCTCCAATACCATGCAGAAAGATAATATAAATAATACAGCTACCAAGGGATGGATGTAGATGAAGAATATAACAGGCACAAGAATGGATCCCTGTGGGACACCTACTCAAATCATACAAGGTGTGGATCTTTTTTACATTCAGAATGTGGAATATCATTTTTGGAGCATTTGTAAATATATCCACTGCCAATTATATATATATATAAAAATAGATAGATTCAAGAGTCCATGAGGTATGAAGAAAATGCATCATGAAATATATTCTTTTCTAACAATTCTTCTAGCTGCAAGACTGCTGCTGTTCGCTCAAGGCCATGCCTGCGCTTACACACAGTATATGGAGGCAGTAGCAGTCTCTTTATATGAGCCTGTCCATTACACCAGGTAAGATGCAATGAAAGTTGTATAAACCCAGAGGACAACCCTCATAGAGCTGTTATAAAACTAACCCTATCACTTTATCTTAATGCTCATCAATGCATTCAGTGTAATTACATTCAATTACCTCTGATAGCTTGATATAATGGTGGAGGTGAAACGTAATAGTACAGAAACAGATTTGTGAAGAGTTCTAATATCCCATCAGTGTGATAAAGTGCAGTTCTGTAAAACAACGAGCCATACTAAGTAAATAATACATCCAAGTGAAGCTTACACATTTAGTTGGAGCAATTTCACTCCATGCATTGCCTGAATACAAAGATGATGTATCACATGCAACATAATCTTTGCTGTGTAAAAAAACCCAATGTATTATCCTTTACACTGTTGACTGTGTGGTTGGTGAGAAAAACAGTCATTTAACAATAGTTTTTAACAAAATAAAAGAGTTCTGGAGAATTTCAGATCAGCCTAGAAAAGCCATTTTATTTTTTCACTTGCTTTATTGCGAGATTGAAACTTAATTTTCAAATTAAAGACAGTAAAGACAGATCTGCTGTAAGTGGTCTTGAAACTCTTTTTGTCCTTTAGCTCAGCTGGGTTCCCAATGCAAAACATCTTTATACCATATCAGATATGATAGTGGAGTATATTGGATTCAACAGGCCATTGTTGAGGATGTAATGGAGCCTTGTTTTGATCAGACAATAAAAAGGTGACTGTTACCCAACCACCGCTGGAGTGATCCATGGGAGGGACACGGGTCTGCAGGCACACAGAGAGGTCCACTTACAGCTGCAGGCCGCCTGAAGAAGCGACACTGTATTTGACCTAGATCCTCCGTTAAACAGTGTGGTGTTTTGTTTTATTTTATCCAAAGACATGCTGAGCGACGTGCTTTGGCTGCAAATCCGACTCACATGGCGTTCCTTATCAAATATTTATTCTCATTTTGGATTCAGAGCTGTAACTGCAAAGAGGAGGCTGTGGATGTGCCAGCCTGTTTTCTGAGTGTGTGTGTGTGTGTGTGTGTGTATTTAGCTCTCACCTGGGCTGAATGCTGTCAGATTAGGTCTGATGCAGAGTGTTAACCAGCCTGCTGTCTGCTCTGGTTTTTGTGTGTATCACCCGAGTAGCCATGGGAATATCTCACTCTGCTCTGCCCTCAGGTTATTAGCATGCTGCTTCTCTGCTTAGTTTATTCTCTCTTTGTCTCCCTCACCATCACTGTATGTGTGGCTGTCAACCCTTGCACCTCTTTCACTCTTTCATGCCTTCTGGCACAATACTGTACAGAAATAAACAACTATGAATCACGTCAGTCTCTAATTCTACATTGGGTCCAAAAGTATGCACTGTTTCTCTGAGGCAGTTTTCAATTGTTTGGGTTAGATCGCTCAGTTCCATTTAGACTTAACACAAGATGACATATTGTTAAATACAGTTAAACCAATTTAAGGGCTGACCTCTGGAAAATGTGTCTCTTTCTCCGGAGTTTGCCTTTCACACATGCACAACGCAGCAGGAGATTCTCCACTCAGACGCATTCACGACAGCAACAAATCCTCCGGTGGATTCAGGCGAGGGGTGGTGCTGCGGGCAGAGACACGGTGTACCATATTAATTCTGCTGCTCCAGAGGAAGTCCTGAGTCAAGTGCATGTCTGAATGTATCTTAACTATCTGATTCCATACGCATGGTCCTTTCGTGATCGTGTGTGGCTTTCCATTGGTCTTCTGAGCCACA